CCTTGCTAGGGCTACGATGTAGCCTAACCATGAATACTCAATTTTTATAGTTATATTAATTCCTTATTATTATCCCATGTTGAGTATTTGTTACTGTTCTTAATGATTTAAATATCTAGCTAATATTTAATTGATGATCCAAGCGGAGACCGAGAGGAGATGTTTGGTGTTTGCTTCTTGTAACAAATACCATGACTTGAATGAGTGCCCGAGAGGGACTAACATGACTCATGCAGTTTTCTTGTAGGTTCTCATAGAACTTAATGGGTTCTTAGTTTTCTAAATCCGTTGCTCGAGAGAGAATGGGTTGTTAATTGAGAATACTTTTGGTTGAGCCCGAGAGGGGATATCGAATGAATTAGGAGAAACCAACTGTCAACAGGGATAGTAATTAGGGTTAATTGGCTATAAGAATTAAGTAGAATTGGTTATGGTGAAATCGGATGCTCTAGTGTCTCATCATCTTAATTTTCTATCGTTAATTAAATTGTTATTTTTCATAATTATTTTAGTTTTCTTGAATCAATCAATCTTCTTAATTAACTGTTCAAATAAACTTCTAAATTAATCATAATTGGTAGTTAATAGGAAATTACAGTCTTCGTGGGAACGACACTCTACTTATTTCTATATTACTTGTACGAATTGTGCGCTTGCAATAATTTCACAACATTAACAAAAACATTTCCTTGACCTAAAACTTAGACCAAAGTGGTCTTAATGGTGATGTATAATATGGGTCTTAGTTGCAGAGAATGAATGGACAAAAAGAGAATAAATGTTACACGATTAAGTTAAAGAGCTTCAGACGCATCTTGAAATGGACCAAGAAGAGAACGAGTGAGAGAGAGAATAGTCCAAGTCCCTCTCAAACAAATTGTGACCTATATTTGATGTCAAATGCTTTTATGGTCCATGCATGATCGAACAAAAGTTACACTAGAGACAGCTCCATTATATTCTTGCATGCAGAGCTTTCCACTATTTTTTACTTTAATTTATTTTCTAATTAATTTTGATTTTGATTTTTTTTTATTGGAACTTTTAGGGATCACGTTGGCACCTTCCTTTCTCATTTTGGAATAATGTACGTTTGCATTGACATCCACTTTATGGTACCAAAATGCCGATCTAGTGCAAGGCCAAGTCACTTTCATTTGAGATAGCTATTGAGTTATTGATTATTTCAGAAAGAAATATAGAACTTGTAGGCCTTTGTGTACTTTAGCTAAATTCTCCTCCTACACACAAAGAATGCATAATTTGCACATAGTTAGTGAAGTTAGCAAGTTAGCACTTAGCAATTAGGTTGTGAGGTCTATTGTGGGAGTGATTTTCCTCAAATATTTGCTTCCACATCTATTCTAAAGCGTTACCAGAAGAAAGTTTGTAAGCTAATGGGAATGCAAGAACTAGCCGGCATAGTTTGTGCAGCTTCTATGTTAGAAGCAATTCAATTTTGTCTAATTTTTCCTCCTTTTATAAGTGAGGGGAATGGAGTCTAGGATCTCGAATTTGATGTTATTTGTCACAACTTAAGAAAACGCATTTCACATCCATGCTATGTTGGAGTTTGAAGCAAATATCCCACATTGAGAGCATAAGATTGCCATATATATAGTTTGGGCCCAAGTTATGGGTTCGGCTTTGGATAGTTGGAAAATAATTATTATTTGTTAAAATTGAGCTTTGGGCCTTTTGGGCTCTAGAAAAGAAGACATTACCAAATCTTTATTTAATTTAATTTTTGTTGATGATTGTTTAATCTTTACTCAGCAAATTGAAAGTGCTTCTTGTATGATCTGAAAAACCCTAGCCCTCTTTCTAACAAAAAACACTTCTAGAGCCTTTTTCACTTTGAGGAGAGAGGAAGTTACTGTTCTTCATCACATCTCCCATCTCCCCTCTTCTCTTTCTTCCTATTTTCTCCCCTTATTTTCAGAGACAAAAGTTTTTTCTTATTTGTCTTCATTTAGTTATGATTTTCCTCCAACTATCACAGGCAGTTGTGTCTCGGTGTTGTATCTTCACATGCGTTTCAGCATCGGATCTCCATCACCATACTTTTTGCGGTTTCTTGATGTTTGGAATAAGTCACAAAGACACTTTGGGTTCTCTGCGTAGTTTTCACATCTTCTTTTGTGAAAGCTTTTCACCTCTTCTTTGTGAGAACTTTTCACATCTCCTTTGTGAGAGTTTTATTTGTATTGTTATGACTTGGTTCTTTCAAGCTTTATTTCTTTTTGATTATTTTGAGTTTGCAATCTTAGTTGGGATGCTAAGGCTAGAGTTTCTTCGATCCCGCATGATCGTTAGTGGAGGCGCATCAGATTGTCTTAATTTTATGTTAGACCGCTCCGTTATTGTATTGGTCATTTGTGGCTAGTTTGTATTGGCCTTTTGTGGTTAGTGACTTTTTTTGCTAAATTACGAATCCAATCCTAGAATTTCTCACAAAAAAAGAAAAAGAAAAAAGAAAAAGAAATGACTGCTTGTATGATTAAAAATCTTTCATCTCAATTTCAATCCACCTCTGATCAAAGCGAATTTGCATAAATCAATAACTTATTTTTCAACTAATGTACATTGACGGAAAAAAAAGAATACTTAAATCAGCAATAGAAGCTAATTGGGTCTAGTTCATTAGAAAAAGGGCAGTGACTTGCATATCAGTGATCTCATATTCAAACCCCCATAATACCTTGATAGTGTGTGTGTGTGTGTGTGAAACCCACTTGTAGTTTAGACTATCGCTTGTTAAAAACCCCTTTGTAGTTTTGGATATTACCAATATTATTAAGTTTCACTTAGCCTCCCCATCCTAATAATGATATAGTTAATTTGATGTGATCCAATTGGAATCAACTTTCTCCTTTTTCTTTATAATTTTTTTTACAACTTGTTGAAATTGATTCATTTTTAGAATAAAGGGGAGAAATTCAAAATGTGGTTTAACATATTAAATCTTATATAATTAATTATTGGCAAACAAATAAACTTGGTTTAGAAAAATCGGAATGCAAAATTGTGAAACCCTGTATTTTTAATATATATATGTATTATATTTCAGAAAATTAAATATTTTGTTACATATTTAGATTATAACTTATATATATAATTATCTTGTACGTGTTATATTTTCATACATTTATCTTATTAGTTATTAAAAATAGTAATATTTATATGTATTGCTTTTAACAACTTTATCCATTTGTTTCTTACTGACCAAGTTCAATGACCTAGATATTTATTTTACAAACACACTTTAGACTCCAAGTGTCATTCTACTGGGGTAACTAAGCTTTATTTAGCATGAGGTGTTGGCAATTTGATGATAGCCATCCTAATCTTGGAGACCAAGTTCCCACGTGGTCATCCCCTCCCCACCAATTAGAACAAATTGAATCCTCCTAAGTATTACTATAAATAGGATGTTTCCTTTGTTTTAGAAAGCATTTAACCTTGCATGAAAGTTCATGTAATGAGAGAGAGAGAGAGAGAGAGGACTAAAGAAAGATGTAAGGAAATTTGATATTGGACGAGATAGGTAAATGAGTTGTCTTGCCAATTTATTTTAAAGGCTCTCATTGTCGAGGTGAGTGGTTTATGTAATGTGTTCTAAAAATTCTTATTTTGTGATAAAATATGAAAATCATGAATTATCGTGGATTTGTTCTATTTACAAATATCTCTCTATTTCAAAGTCAAGCATGTGTAATTTGGTGCAATTTTTTTTACATTATATATATTGATTGGAATATTTGTAAAGTATATATTATTCATGGAACATGAGAACTTCAATGTTGGGGTATTTGAGGTATAGATGTACCACACGGGGACATAGGGTAGTAAGGCCAATAGGGGTCACGTGGTGGTTACATGCTATGAAGGATAACCGAGATATAAAGGGATGATGTGATGTGATATGATATGGATTGGTATATCTTTTCATGATATTTTATAGAGTGTGTAAAACGGCATTACTTGACTGGCATATTGCATAATCTAATAACTGAGCGGTGATTGATCATCCCTCACCCTGTTTAACTTTTCAGATGAATTAGTGGGCAAGATGAGGACTAAATCGTTTAAGGCTAAATTAGATGAGAGTAGTAGAGATTTATTTATTTCTTGTAAAGTTGTAAGATTTTGGATCTGTTTTTATAAGAGAAGTTTATTTTAAACCTTGTTTCGGATTCTTTTTATTTTATTTTCTCACGCATCGGGCTTGAGCTTTTCGCCGGCGTGACAAAAATGTTATGGATGGAGTCCCCCAAAGAAAATTATGGTAAATTAATTTTGATGGTTGGTCAAGCTTCTACAAGTTTTGTTATTTGTAATTCCCAAAACATTGCTCTTTTAGTTGGTTCATTTCCTGTTGATTTCACTTCTACTTTGTAGGCAATGGTTCACCAAAGGCCAGTGGACTACTCGTCTTCGATTGCAAAATTGTTCATATGTTGACAAGTTAAGGTGTGATACCTTAGAAAGTGAAATAAATCATTCAAGATCTTTGACTTCTTCTACAACAATTTTCAGAAATTTGAATTTCACATAATTTTCTAGAAACAAATATGGTAGCTAATCAATTAGCTAATTTAGGTAATCATTTGCAACATCCTCTGTATTTGGTTTAGTAATTTTCCTTATCAAGTTTTGTATCATATTAAATTTGACTTTTTTAGTTTAAAGATCACAAGAGAATCTTCTTTGTAATTACTTTGTATAAAGTATATGTTAAAAATAAATAAATTAGAAGAGTTTGATTTCCAACCAATTACATTATGCCAAATATGATTAGTTTTTACATAACAAAGCGTGATTTGTTAGGTATGTCAAAATAGTGTTATTCTCGTGACATACAAGTCTACGGGCGGCAATACTAAAAAATTAAAACGGAAAAAAAGAAAAAGAAAAAAGAACCAAAGGCGTAGTCGCCAAGGAGAAAATAGTAAAAGCGCATAAACAAAATTAGCGTAATGCACGTTGTAAAGGTCCGTGATGTTTTTCTTCCCTTCCCTGACTGCAAACGTTGAAAATCCCAAATGCTACGAACCCTAGCTGCCAGCAAATCAGCATTTCGAGATTGCCAATTCTAGGGTTGGAAATCGCAGAGTGAACTTGCCTGCACGCGAACGCTGACACATTGTTGTGGTCGGCAAAACAATCGTGCCATTTCTCAATGAAATTAAGCTTCAGAAATGGTTGATACATGAGGATTAAGACGGCAAGCTGAGAGCTTTGATTGGCACTGTGTTTGGTTTGAATTTGAAGCGAAGGGATGCAAATCTCGTGGATTTTGATTACGTATGTTTCGGCATTTGGGATGGCTTGTGGGTCTAAACTATAAATCTCCATCGTCAAAGAGGTTGCCAGATGCCAAGCCTCCCCCGGCTGAAGTTAAGCCGGTGGCTATGTTGGATTCTGTTCAAGAGATTGCTATTTACATTCACAGATTTCACAATCTTGACCTTTTCCAGCAGGGGTATATTTATGTGGATTTCTTTCAATTGTTATTTTGAACTTGTTCGTGCTTGCTTTTTTAAAGTTAAATTTGTGGGTATTCTTCAATTTCTTTTATTTTATAGATGGTACCAAATTAAAATTACCATGAGATGGGAGGACAGTGAATATACTTCTGTGGGGACTCCAGCAAGAGTTGTTCAATATGAAGGTACTGACTTTTGTTGGAGTTGTTAATTTTTCTTTTATAGAGCAAAATGATATAAAAATATTGATTACTATTAAGTCAAAATAAATCCTAAGTATATGTTAAGTACATTGCTTGTAAGCATATAGTTTGAAACAAACTGATTTTCAGAGTCAGAATTATATAAATTTGGTCAGTGGGTCTGTTGGTACGAAAGCTTTTACTAAGTTTCTTATCAGTTAACCCCAAATTTTGCAATGCAGTATAACTGTACAAATCTTACCGTGTTAAGTATGATGCAATGATGGTTGTTTTTAAGTATGTATTCATGGGTCAATAAATTGCCCTTTTGAACTTTTATCAATTTATTACAAGTCGGTTGTTGTTTAAGAGAAGTGATATTATTTTGCAAAAACAAAAGTTTAAGAGCTAGGTTTTCATTGCGTGTTTTATTGTTTCTCTTTCTTTGGTTAATATTCAAAATGATTGAAAGTGTAGAGTAAAAACTTTACATGACCTACCTGGGTCCAGCTATTATTGTCAACAGATCAACCTAGTTATCCTCATGTTTATAGTATTTTACATGGTTAACTGGTTTTTATACTTTTGTTATGTGGGCATAGAGATATGTTTTGCTTCAGTTAAATAAATATTTAGTAAGCTTGTCCTATTTAAGTGATGCCATTTTCATAAACCAAGAGGCAAGGGCATAGAGATAATTAAACTGTTTGACTGGCAGCTCCTGATCTGGGTTCTGATGATGTATATGGAGTATGGAGGATTGATGATTCAGATAACAGCTTCTCAACACAGCCTTTTCGTATCAAATATGCAAGGCAGGATATCTTTTTATCAATCATGATATCTTTCAATCTATCACTAGCGAGATATGAGGTAATAATCTCTCTCTCTCTGCCTCTGTCCTCACGCACATGTGACATGCTAAGCATCTAACTGTCTATACGGAATTTATTGAACATGGTATTAGCCCCCATAACATGTTTGTCGTCTGGGTTGTAACATTCATGACAACATTTTTTTTTTTTGGCTAGTTGACAACTAGCCTTGTTTTTTTGGCTCTATGTTTTTTTTCTCTGAATTGTGAAAGGTCCCATTAGCTACATGCCCAAACTTTTTGCTTGCTGCCTTGATGACGTCAAAATAGTTGATTACAATTTGCATTCTTAAAACCTAAGAGGCCAGAAGGTCAAGCTCGTTAAAAAAAATAAAAAAAATCCTGTTTTTCAAAAGAAATTAAATTACTTTTTCCAAGGATATCTTTGTGGGTAAATATGTGCTATAATTTGGCGATTTTTATTTTTTATTTTGTCCAAGTAGAATGTAGTGTTTATATAATGTATTCATGTTAATAGGGTATGTACTTTTCAGGGTCTCTCCTCGTCTGCTGTTATTTTGAAGTTCGAGCTTCTGCATGCCCCCATATTAGGAAATAGGTGAGTTGAGATTATTCATATTTTCATGCACGCTTTTAAGTTTGCTAATTGAAACTAAAGTCAGTGATTATGTCGCATAAATTGCAGGTCTGACTTGCAGGCTTCTTTGGATGCTAGCCCTGCAGCTGTCCATGAATTCCGAATTCCTCCTAAAGCTCTTCTGGGATTGCATTCTTATTGCCCTATCCATTTTGATGTATTCCATGCAGTGCTTGTTGATGTTACAGTACACATCAGTCTACTGAAAGCTGTCTCTTACATGCCCCCATCGAAGGTACCCAGGTCTGTCACATATTCTAGTCTATAAAGTAGTTTGGCACTCCATTTTGTGGAAATTAGTCTTCTTATTGTATTGAAAACTAATTCTGTGCATACTTTTTTTGCGAAATTAACTTGGGATTTGATTTATTTCAGTGATTCGTCCATTGCTGAAGATGTTGGCAGAGAAGGTCTTTCTGGGTCAAATCAAGTATGTTGTTTTGCATTAAATTCTGCTAGATCTTTTTTCTGGCCCTTGTGAGGCTTGACATTATTCACATTTGAATCTTTGATCTTGTTCGACAGTATATTCCTGTGTGTTGGTTGCATTCTTTGCTTCTCTCTCTCTCTCTCTCTCTCTCTCACATACTTCTTCATGAAAATACATGTTTTCCATCAATTCCCTGTTGCGCTTTCCAAGGGCCTTTCACATAATAATGGGACACATAAACATCAGGTGATCGGGCATATGTATGCACACGCATGTGCTTTTGTATATGCATTGTAGTTTACGGAATTGACTATGTAGTAGAGTCAAGATTATGTTTCCATAATTTATTCAATATGCTTGGGGCTTTTTTAATTAGGAATATCCTCGGGGATGTCTATTATATGAATGTCGTAAACAATCCTTGGAAATTGCTTCATGTGAGATCAGGGACCCAAATTGGTATGAACAGCAGCTAATGAGTTTTTGCGTGGCGCAAAAGGACTAAACAATTTCACTGGGCAAAGTCGACTAATCTGGTATAGCTACTTTATTTGGATTGCGTGATCTGGGAAGCACTAATACGTAAGTGCTATATGGGTATGACAGGCGTATGCGATGCAGAAGAAGCAACACTAAGCTGGCAGAGTTGCTGGAGGAAAGAAAACTGAGATGAATGGTGTCGTTTTGGTTTTGGTATTTTACTATATATATATATATATGCATGTAAATATTCTACCCTAAGTGAAACAGTGCATTTGAGAAAAAAAGTTGGCGTTTTAGTAAGGTTTTAATAAAGAAAATGACAGGCTTTAATAATATTTCCCAATGAAACCAGCCCAGTTTACTCCACCTCGACCTTTAGTTTACACCACCTCCATACCTTTCTTTAACCTTTCTTATCTTTATTTCAGTGCAAAGAAGGTTGGGGTCCACGCCCCCAGCTTGTAGTTAGCTCACCATACCCGGTTGTTAGTTATTTCCTATATGTGACTAGCCTCCTAGCATATTGTTCTAGGATTTATTATCTATTTGAACCAAGTGTACACGCACTAGAATTAGAAACTTGGTAGGGTAATCATGATGATAATAAATAGCAAGAAGTTGCATGAGAGTTCCTCACCCCTACCAGCGCTGATTATTATTCTTGAATGACAATTAATACTTTGTTTTGATTATTTTATACTTTTGATATTAGATAATAATTCAACAATACTAAAGACTTGCATCTTAATGCTGAAAGGCTTACGACACGCCTTGCAAGACATGAAACGCCTCACCTCTATACCTTGCTTTTGAAAACATTGTATTTTAGAAAGATAACTGAGGTTTCATTGGGATGTATCAGTTCCCTTAAACCAAAGCATTGTTTTTGAGTCCCTGAAAAACTTGAAAGTTTAAATTTACATTGAGAAATGCATTGAAAGCGAAGGCTACTGAGCATATTTAAAACATAGATGGGTGTTATAAACAATGGATTTGAAATTAAAAATATAAAGTTTCAAAATTTGCGATGCTTTTAAAGTTTGAACTCTTAGCTGACATGTATCTGGGCATATTGCTAGCATCTATGTTCTTAATATGTATATAAAAGGTTTCAAATATCCTTAATCTATTATTTATGTTTTGTTTGCTACTTCTCTTCAGAGGCTGTTCTATCATGTACTTACAGTTGAAAATTTGTGATTGACTAGGCATCAGCACAAGTGGCTGCTGCAGGTGTGAATGATATCATGCTTATTAAATCATTGTTAGCTGCTCGTGACATACTACTTGAAGAGCTCCAGAAACTTAGCAAGGCTATTGACCAAGCAATTGATTTGACTGATTTTATATCTAAAATGGATGACACAAAGTTTGATTCTTTCCTGCAAGAAAATTTGGTTGCAGCAGATGCCAAAGTTTCAGGACAAGGCAAGCCACAAAATGGTCTTGAGGTCCTTACTTAATTCATGCAGTATAATGTTCTTATCCTTATTTCGAAATTTCTATGGTTTAAGGCTAGTGTTTTCACTTAACTTTATCTGTTTTTGAACAGAAAGTAAATGGCACGTCAGAATTTGGAAGTGGTGAATTGCTACGCCCCTTATCAAGGGACGCCTTACTGAATTCTTTTCATTCTTTGGGCGATCAAGTTTTATATTTATGGAACACTTTTTTAAACTTCCACAGGTTTGTTTTTATTTGATATTGTTGTTGCGACCTTTTATGTTTTTTCAATAAATTAAAATGATGCTATACACAATGATGGTCCCGATTGTAGACTTACACAATTGAGGAATATATATATATATATATATATATATCTATAAAAATGTAAGTACTGAAACAGGCATTGTCTCTAGAAGGGCTCCTGCTATGAGGGTGCTTCTAGAGAGGATGCCCCTTTTAAAAAATATGCTGGATATGCAATAGCAACGTCATGTTATTGTCAATAACTTATCAATAGTCTGTTAAAAAATGATCGGGACCTCTTCCAATGTGATTGGATTAACCTTCTATTTGTATCCACACAAAAATAAAAGACTCGCTCCTCTGATCTAATTTCCAGATCATCTGTACTCGTTTGTATGGTGATATTTATTCATTACAGGTTTAACAAAACAAAGGTACTGGAATACTTGCGTGACACATGGGCTAAAGATAGAAAAGCTGAATGGTCAATATGGATGGTTTACTCTAAGGTTGAGATGCCTCATCATTTTATCAATGGTGGGGGTGATGAGTCTTCCCACAGTGCTGGCCATAGGAGAGTTTCAACTATGTGGAAATTAACTGATGATGTAAGTATTCTAAGTATTCATACCACATGATTTGTAACTTGACGAAAGAAATTTCCCCAACATGTTTGAAGCAATGTCAAGGGTTTGTTCAGTGTTCCCTATGTACAGTTCAGTTATCAGCAAATTTAGATTTTTGAATGCATGTTTTATGGATCTTACTTGTGTTATGTACAGCCTGCCCAGACTGCTGCTACCCGTGCTGAGCTTCATCGACGAAGTATTGCACAAATGAAGGTGGGCGGCTTTTGCTTTCAGATGGAGAGTTGTATTGTCTCTTCCGTTGAATTTTTTTGTAAATTGGAGTTTTCTCTGCAGATTAACAATCGGTCAATTCAAGACATGCATATATTTGGAGATCCATCAAGCATTCCTATTGTCATTGTGGAGCGTGTCTTGAATGCGCCTAGGCGTACTACTAGTGAAAATTCTTACTTGAGAAATTTGGACGTCATAAACTCTCCTGGCTTACTCAGTGGATCTGGCTCTGAATCCTTAAACAAGAGATCCAGCTATAGCTCACCAAAGAAGGGCCGGGTTTTAAAGATTGTTGTCTTTGTGCATGGTTTTCAGGCTAGTTTTGTTCTCTTACAGCTTCCTCTAAAATTCTTAACATTTCGTTGTTTCCTCTGTTCTTTCCTTGCCCCCTTCCAATATTTTCATTGTGTTAAAAGTTGCCACAGCATAACTTTTTAGTTTTATTATTTTTTTTAAAAGGTTATTAACATTTTGAACTTAGTTTGTCAGGGTTTCCATTTGACCTTTGGTCAAAACTTGCCAGCTATTTGTAATAACTTACGTTTATGAAGGTTCAAAAAACTGTATATGTGATGCTCACAAAAGTGTTTTGGTTGTGCTAGTCATTGTGTGTTTTGCTCCCTAAAGTGAGTCAAACGTTTGTAATTTATGGATTAGAATATTCATTTGGTGGCCATTCATGTTTTACGCTGCGAGTATAGAACTTATACCAGTGTAGTTGATGAACAGCTACATAAGTCTATTCATTTGTGCTACGCACTGTAATGTACTTAATACAACTCTCACACTACAGGGGCATCACCTGGATTTACGGCTTATTCGGAATCAATGGCTTTTGATAGATCCCAAGGTAGAGTTTCTAATGTCAGAGGCAAATGAAGACAAAACATCTGGTGACTTCAGAGAAATGGGACAAAGGTTGGCCCAGGAAGTAGTTTCTTTCCTTAAGAAGAAAATGGATAAAGTTTCAAGGTCTGGAAGCATAGCTGATATTAAGCTTAGCTTTGTGGGACATTCTATTGGGAATGTGATCATAAGAACGGCGCTAACAGGTATCAAACATTTAGACATCATGTTTTCCCATTATATGCAGTTGGTGTTGATATTAGCCATGGTTTTTGCAGATAGCATTATGGAGCCATTCCTAAGATACCTGCACATATATCTTTCTATATCCGGCCCACACTTGGGGTATCTATACAGTTCAAACTCTTTGTTCAACTCCGGGCTGTGGCTTTTGAAGAAGCTTAAGAACACGCAGTGTATTCATCAGCTTACTTTCACGGATGATCCAGACCTTCAAAATACGTTCTTTTACCAGCTCTGTAAGGTACTGAGAATTCTATTACCTAATGCATCTTTTTGTTTTTCCCTTTTTAACAACTTGTACTCAGCCATCAGGCTGTTGCCTCATAACTGTTGATGATCTTGAAAATAAATAAAATCATGATATTAATCTAGCTTTTTGTTTGCACTATATGTCAATAGTGATATTGTGTATTCCATAATTTTGTATTAATTGAAGGCAAATATGACATTCTTTACAAAAATAATGACGAGCTTTAAGAAAGAACTGTGGCCAATGTCATCTGTTTAATTGCTGATGTTCTAAATCAATTCTTTTTGCAGAAGAAGACACTTGAGAATTTCAAGCATATAATCCTGTTATCTTCACCACAGGTATCTTGATCGCTTCCCTGGGGGTTTTGTAAGCAAGATTATTTAATGAAAATATTAAACTTACGCTGCAGACTTTGTTTTTGTTGCATCTCTCTGCTGTTTGCCATTGATTGTAATGTGAGAAATGCAATTGATAAGTCCATGGACCTTCATAATTGCTCACATCAACTACTGTGTTCGAGCACCTATGCTTAAGAATCCAATAATTTAAATAAACCACCTGAATTTTTTGCCATACTTCCACAACCCATTGACTTTGATCCAATTGCTAATCCAACTGCTAAAATAATTAAAAACTCAAGCTGCTCAGAACTCGTACATGTGAGCCGCTACCTTTACAACCTTCTTTGTGGTTCCTTCTGTGTTTCCAATGTTTAATAGTTGTGTGAGATTTTCACATTTGTAATAGTGAAATCTTCCTTTTTTCGATGCTGAGCATAGTCTACATTACTAAGACGAAAGGCATTACTCCAAAGATTCAATGTTTGCCAGGGAGGAACTCATAACAGCTCTTTCATTTCTTTATCTATTTTGATGTCTGATAGCCGCACTTTTATTGAACACTACTTGTCAGATTTACAATTGTCATTGTCTAAGAAATTTGCAACAATTTATTTGTGCCCAACGGAAAACCAAAATCTCACTAAACTTTTTGTACTGTTTAAGAAAAAAATTGTTCTCGTGATATTGGTAGTTGCTTCAACCATCATTAATTATGTTTTGCAGGATGGTTATGTTCCCTACCATTCTGCTAGAATAGATATGTGCCAGGCTGCTTCATGGGACTTGTCAAAGAAGGGCAAATTTTTTCTGGAAATGCTGAATGATTGCTTGGACCAGATACGGGCCCCTCACTCTGAGAATCGAGTGTTCATACGCTGTGACATCAACTTTGATACCTCTTCGTATGGAAAGAACCTGAACACCTTCATTGGAAGGGCTGCTCATATTGAGTTTTTGGAGTCCGACACTTTTGCAAGATTCATCATGTGGTCTTTCCCAGACCTGTTTCGGTAATGGCTGTTTATGGCAATGCAGCTTCGTCTCTACCCTGTCGTTATCTGATTATCTCCTTCCCTCCAATCGAAGACAACTGAGGACGGTGTTTGAAGGTAGAGTGTTGAATATGTGGCACCACGTCTAATGCTTGAAGAAATCGGCTTTTGTAAATTATCAGCTTAGAACTCATTTTACGGGTAGAAGTTGTGCCTTTGTTTAGCTGAATGTGAAGTTTCTAGGGTATTCCACGAGCCTTGTGGACCTTACATAATATTTAGTATACAAGCAAGGTTCCTTGTGGACCATACATTTTCCATTTTCTAGGCTAGTTAGATTATGTGATTATGCATTTGATCAAGTTCCTGTCACAAGGATCTTGCATTTTAAGTAGACAGTTGAGATGGGAAAAATGAAACTTGCATAGTTTAGGCGTGTAGTAATAAGAATTTGGTTACAGTTGTCTTTTTGTCAATTGCCTATAGTATACTTTTGAGGCCTCAAATATATAATATTATATATAGTATTATACATTTATAACATTATAAATGTTACTCAGGCCTTATGGGACAATTTACCCTCTCCATCCCTATAGTTGTACTATACTTTTGGGGACATTAATAGGTCGATATGTTACACAAAAGTCAAATATAAAAACTCGAAGGTGAAAGGTAGGCGAGCTAGCTTTGAGCGTGTCGTGCATGAATGAATGCCATGATATGTGGTCTGGAACATAGGCTGATCATCTTCAATTTCTTGCACTTGTTTGGTTGCTCGGCACCTAAAACAGGTCCTGCATGGTCCATGCAACACGATGAACTTCGATTTTTTGCACTTGTTTGAGTTTATCATTGCAAGATTAATATTCCTAATCAGAAGACAATGAACTTCCTTATATTTGTTCATCGATCAGAATATATTCCTTGGGTGGTTGGGATATTTGAATCATTCAGGAGACTAAGAAGAGAAGAAATGCCCTTTGGGTAGAATAATTGAAGAAGAAAACACGTACTGTTTCACATACAAGTGTTCCAATGAATGGCACTCAACACCACCAGTTCCACCACTATAGAAGTGTTCAAGTGTTTCAATTCTGGAAGACGCAGAAATGATATGTATCCCAATTGCGGAAAAATGATCTTGTCCTTCAATGTTCCCACGCTTGGTCCAATGACTGTCTCCAAACCAAAGCAACCAACTACCCATAGCTTTTCCAGTTGCAAAACACACTGAGATACGTCTGTTGTGAAGATGCTCTTCAATTTCCAACAGTACTGCACACTCAAAATTTGAAGTTAAGGAAGATTGCATATTGAGCAGGGCCATTCCATATGCTTTTTAGTTCATGAAGATAGGCCAATTTCATCTTTCTCCATTTTCTAAAAGCACCCTGTTTGTCTATTTAGAACCAATGTTGTTGTTGTATTCATCAAACTTGGCATCTGATTGCACTGTTTGACACGAAGAGAAATCAATCCATGTAATCTCTTCTTGGCATATTCCGCAAAGAAAGTTATTTAATCCCCCGCACTCACTGTAAATTATTTTCTCTGCTCTCTCGATCACCATACTGCTAAACCAACTCGGCAAGGTATTGATTGTTGTGTCGAGGACCAATAGTCTTGGACAATCTGAATCACTAAGGGCATGTTTAATAACTGAATTTGATTTAGCTCCAAGTCCATAGCATGGTTGAGAACCCAACCATATCACTTTTTTTGTGTGTGGCCATATTTCCTTCAATTTCCATTCTTTATGTAGCCCATGTTTTTGCAATAGATGGGTTGGCCTAAAAACATTTACATTCCTTCAATTACAATGATAAAGCCAAAGCCCTTCCAGATCAAACAGAGTGCAAAGATGTAATTGACCAAAAAAATCTTATACACAAGTCAAATATAAAAACTCTAAAGTATATGAATGCCATGATATGTGTGGTCTGGAACATTGGCGGATCATCTTCAATTTTTTTTGCACTTGTTCGGTTGCTAGGCAGTCTCTATCGAACTTGCGGGTGCACCTAAAATAGTATGGTAAAACATGCTGCAAGAAGTTGAATTAAACAGGAGAGTTAGAAGAACTTAACAATTACAGATTACTTCACGCAAAATCCCCGTTTCGATTGAGTAGAGATTAAAGAAGAAAACACGTACCTTCTCACCGGTAAGAACCCATTATCTACTAGGACTTGCTTCTGGCTATGGAAGTCAGAAGCAGAGATTGAAAATTGGCTATGGCACCCGTGCACATACAAGTATTCCAATGAAGGGCACTCAACACCACCACTATAAAAGCTTTTCAATTCTGGAAGATTCCGCAAAAATATGCACCTCAGTTGCGGAAAAATGATCCTGTCCTCTAATGTTCCCTCGTTTGCTCCAATAATTGTCTCCAAACTAGAGCAATCATATACCTGTAGCTCTTCCAGTTCCAGTTGCATAAGACAGTGAGATGCGTCTGTTGTGAAAATGGTCTTCAATTTCCTACACCGAGATACTGTCAAAACCTTAAGATTATGGAAGATTGCATATTGAGCTGGGCCATTCCATATGCTTTTTAGTTCTCCAAGATTTGCCAATTTCATCTCTCTCCAATTTCTAAAAGCAGCCTGTTCTTGTTTTAGCCCTTCAGACTCGAACACATATTCCATACGAGACATTCTTTGAATATTAAGTACTTCCAGATTTTGAAGTTTCTGCCACAAATTCGGTTGAAGAAGTGTGCCCTCCAAGGCTTTACACCCTGTCACCTCCAAGAACTTGAGATTGCCTAGAGATCCATGCGGTAAGTCACCAACACATAACTCTTTTAAGTCATTCAACCAATAAACATACAACTCTTCCAACTTCTCCAACACAGGTCTATTTGGAACCAATGTTGTCGTTGTATTCATCAAACTTGGCATGTGATTGCACTCTTCGACACGAAGAGAAATCAATCCATGTAATCTCTCCGTGGCATATTCCACAAGAAAGTTATTTAATCCCTTGCACTCGCTATAAAATATTTTCTCTGTTCTCTCGATCACCACACTGTTCAACCAACTCGGCAAGGTATCGATTGTTGTCTCGAGGACCAATAGTCTTGGACAATCTGAATGCGTAAAATTATCTATCGAGACTGATTCCCTCTTGATACATATGAAGAATTTTTCCCAATTTGGAAGGAACTCAACATCTTTAGGAATGCATTCTACATTACAAATTCGAACAAACAAAATGTTTAAGTACGACAAGCAAGTTAACTCATCGAAGCCAGCATTAATTCTTTCCCCTGCCCCTTCAACTTTACCCCCCCCAGTCTCCAAAACTACCTTCCATGAGCAGTTCCTCTAACCTAGACAACCTAGATATCACTTTCGATGGAATTATTATCTTTGAATTCCAACTCAAATCCAACAACCTCAGACTGGCCAAGTTTCCTATTTCTTCTGGAAATTTTTCAAAACGAGTGGATCTCAGATTAAGAATCTCAAGTTTCTTTAGTTTTCCGAGTACGGAAATGTCCTTTAAGGACCAACAGTGATCTAGATGCAATGTTTGGAGGTTTATTAGGAAATTGAACGATGAGGGTAGTATTGAAATAGAAGTGTAGGTAAGGTCTAAGACCCTTAATGCATTCAGACTCTGGAAAAAAGCTTCTGGGATCTCCTTTACTGTACGATTACTATTTAGAAGTAAAATTTGGAGTTTTGGGCATACCAACTCATCAGGAAGCTTGCTTATACAGTTATCCTTTAGCGAGATTGCAGAGCAGCCTTCATCTGTATCATTTGGCCAGACATTTAATTCCCAACCGGCTTTTACCAAAAACCGATGGCCATGTTCTTCTGATGATGCAATTAATATGGCCATATCTCGTATGACATCATGCATTCTCACAAATTTTTCGCTTATCCCGTCCAAAAGCAAGCTGGAAGCTTTAAGGTACTTGGTCACTGAACGTGCTTTGGCTCTGGCTCCTTCCAATGTCTTGCCATCTCGAAACAATCCCAACCCAAACCCGTAACTAAACAAGTCTTGTATGGCGATATTACTGTCTTCTGCGAATAGGGAGCAAAGCAAGAAGCATGACTTGGCATCCTCGCCTTTCAAGTAGTCATAGCTTAACTTTATACATTTGAACACATCTCCGTCGTCTTCAAGGTTGGCAGGCTGGGACATCTCCAGTCGTCGAGCTGCTTCTTTCCACTCATCAAAGTCTTTATCTCCAAGTGAACCTGCAACTGCTATCAATGCAATTGGAAGACCAGCACATTCACGAGCTACCTTTCTCGCCACATTATAGAAAGTGACTGATTCAAAAGACTTTCTTGCTTTCTTCGCAAACAAGTTCCAGGAATCTTCTTCAGATAGGACATTGAGATGTACTTTTACATTGCACTCCATGCCGTGACAAACATTCAATCTCCTTGTGGTTATCAGGACTTTGGAATTGTGTCCTTGCAGTTCAATGGGGCTGGGAATTCCAATGCTAGTCAAAGTAGTTTGTGATGCATTCCAAATGTCATCCAAGATTATAAGGGTCTTGTTTCCACTTAGTATCCTCTGCTTCAATCTGCCTGCTCTTCCCAATTCTGTTTCCACCTGAAATTTCAAGCCCAACATATCTGAAAGTTGGCCTTGAATCTTCATCAAGTCGGGATTTTGGCTAAATACAGCCATAATCACATGATCAAAGAGTCCGTCTTTACGGGCTTGTGCACCAACCTGTTTCACCATGGTTGTTTTGCCTACACCTCCCATTCCATAGACCCCAATCACAGTGACCTTATCATCTTTCAGCGCTGTCATGACTTGATCCATGGCTCTGCTTGTTGATCCAAATGCTTGAAAACCATCAGTTGACATTGTGGACTCAATTTCAATGGGATGTGGAACTTGAACAGAAATTGTTTGAAAATCTCCCTTTTCTAGTAGCTTGTTTACTGCTTCTTTCTCCTCCATTGCTTTCTTTCCTAAATTGTAACGCCATCTCAAATCCGGGCACATCCCGCTGATGCAATTTTTACTCGCTGCAACTTCACCACTTAATTGTGCAGCATCTGCTATGGCCTTATTCGCATCTTGTAGCCACATTTGAATCTCAGGCTTGACTTCTTCTCCATTTAGTTGAAACGCATCAAATAAATTTTGATTACCATTTTTTATTACTTGAAGCTTTTCAATTTGAAGGTTGAGAAATGAACCATGTAACCCAATCCACGCTTTGCTGGACTCCACAACCACTGACCAAGTTCCACTACGGGACCAATAATTTCTGCCATCTGTTCATTTATTTTTTATGCAAAACACAAATGAAAACAGAGAAGGGAAACAATGCAATATGGGATGATAGGAAATACAAACTGAAAAACTGTGATTTAGTCTACTGACCTTACGAGCAATGACGCTCCCTTAGCTTCAGTTGTTAGAATTTTGTGTGCCTTGGACTGTTTGACAGATCTCAGTAAACTTCGGTTTAGGCTTAGGCTTGATCGTCAAGATTACAGAATCAAAAGTAGAGACTGCCAATTAGCAGAATATTCACCCTACCAAAAAGCAGACGTTGATTGAACGTTTCAAGGATTATACACGAGCCAAACAAAGGGAAATTTTTATATAAAAAACAGACACATAAATAAAAGCCATTGGGCATGTCTTTATTTCTCTTACCTCCTTTTCTTGGTTTGATTTATGGATTTTGTTTGCATTTGTGTGGTCTGGGCCCTTGTTGTGTGTTTTCTCTAATCTTTCTGTGAAGTAATGAACTGATGGATTCATTTTCGAACCAAAAATATATGTATCTTTAATTTAGTACTCTGAACTTTTACCTACAAGGTGTTTACCTCTACACTTTTAATTTTAACGATTACATACTTTACACTTTTCAATTTTTTGCAATATGGTTATGCCGTTACAACTTCATCGTCAAAATTTCCGTTAATTTTCTTGTCTGGTAAGCCTAGGTATATATTCATTTTTTTAATGACAATTGAAGGGTATTTTGTTATTAAAAAAAAAATAGTTTGTTATTAATGCGTGTAATGTGCTCTTCATGGCCGGGAAGACACCAATTACCCGAAAATACTCTTCAATTGATATCGAAATAAGCAAATATGTGAGACCCATGCTTGCCATGCAAGCAATTAATGGAAAATATGTTGAAGTTAACGACGGAACCAGATTGCAAAAAATTGAAAGCGTAGGGTATGTAATCGTTAAAATTGAGAGTGCATAGGCAAAGTGCCTTAAGGATAAGAGTTTAGGGTACTAAATTGAAATTAACCCCAAAAAAAAAAAAAAATCTCTTCAAGCTAGAAGTGTGTTTGGCATCACTGTACCTATTGGCTTTTCCTATAGCTGGAGCTGGTGACATTCTGGCTTTGTGATTCGTGATTTATTTTCTTTCAGTTTCCTGTAGCTGGAACAAATCCATATGTTTGAGAAGATTGCTTCTGAACACAATGGCTCAGACTTTCTTTTTTGCGGAAGATCCTGCAACTAAAAAGGAACTCTGGATCTGGAAGGTGCATGGTAATAGGCATTGATCATCAGTACCTTGCTAGAGTGGGCACATGAGCGACCAATTTTATCCGTTGCCTGAGCCAAATTTTGACATATAGGTTAGGACCTTTGAAACATCATTAAAGATGTTTGAGTTGATTTCGCTAGTGTAACACTCTTGGATAGGTTTGTTTTTTCGTTGTAATCACGCTTTGCTCGACTCCATAACCACTGACCAAGTTGCACTATAGGACTAACCAATCCCAAAGTTATTTCTGCCAACTTTTTATGTTTGGTTTTTCTTTTTCTTTTTTTAAGCAGAACACAATGAAATTTTTTTTTTAAATAATGAAACGGGAAACAACCATATGGGATAATAGGAATTACAAACTAAAAAACTCTGATTGAGGTTACTAACCTTACGAGCAATGGAGCTCCCTTAGCTACAGAGTTGTTAGAACTTGTGTGCCTTGGACTGTTGGACAGATCTCAGTAAACCTTTGTTTAGGCTTAGGCTTAGTCGTCGAGATTACAAAATCAAAAATAGAGATACCAAGTTAGCAAATGTGGTTAAAGGTTGGAGTAATCATTGATGTTTTGAAGGATTCTCAACCTTCATTTAAGACCACAAAGCAGACATTGGCCTTTTGAAGACTTCACATCCAGGCAAAGCACCTAACGCATCATATCCTTCAACTTTTTTTATAAAAAAAAATTGTAGTAATTTCAGTTTTGTGAAATGAATATTCATAAGTAATGTTAGTGTTTGTAAAAGGACTAGTTGTGCAACACAAGATCTAACTGAAGGATAACTATAACAATTTTGCAACATGAGGGACAAAAAGTAAAGTCGGGTTTTAGTCGAGGGATCATTGCTACAATTTTGCCTTGTGTTTGTGTTTTCAATTCTAATATTAAAGCAATGTACAGCATGGTGTAACAGACTTGTAGCTGAAGTGATTTTGAGAGGACCCTCAAGCCTGCTTCTTTCTTTAATAAAGGACTTTGACTAAATTTGGTTGGAAAAATTTTGATGGATGATGTTAGTTGGTGGGTTAAAATTGTTCGTAGACAAAAGAACTGTCACCACGTTTGATAAATGGCTTTTGTCTCTCTCCTTGAGTTTGAAGGAAAATTCGGGTGACAAGGACAACATCATGACTGGTGTTGGTTACATTTGCTGGTACATTTGGAAAATGCGATGCAAGATGACTATCGAATCTCACCCACTATCACCAATGGCGGTAATATGTGAATCTCATGCTGCTTGTAGGAGCTACCTTAATGCTCAAGCCTCGAAGAATGCAACTTGCAGACCCCTTGTACTTGTGGCTCAAACCCCACAATGTTGGTCCCCTCCTGCTAATGGTGTCGTAAAATTTAATGTGGATGCCTCTTGGAAACCGGAGCTTCATAAGGCAGGTATTGGAGTGGTATTACGTGATTCTAGTGGAGCTTTTGCTGCTGGCCTTGCTGACTCTGTTGAAGCAGAATGTACCATTGAAGCTGAGACTCTGGCTATTTTGGAAGGATGTAATTTTGCTATCCAAAAAGGGCACACTAGAGTAGTCATTGAATCTGATTCCAAAGAGGCCATATCTTGCCTTAATCGTTCAATCCCAAGAGGTAGGTGGCAGCTCTATCCAATCCTTCATAGCATCAGGAACTCTTGCTCTACCTTTCAGGATTGTAACTGGTCATGGGTCCCTAGGACCGCAAACTTGGCAGCCTATCACTTAGCCAAGTTAGCTATGTCGAGGATGAGCCTTTCTATTTGGGTCAACAGACCCCCATCCTCTTTGATTGGAATATTGGACAAAGATGGTCTTCCTTGCCCCCCAATTCACAGTGCTTGAGGAATGCTAGATCAGATTTTGATATTCTCTGCCCATCTATGGCACCGTCTGTTTCTTTCTTTATCTGGCATTTCTGCTTTATCTTGTATCTTGATTGGTCTTTGGCTGTGTTGTATGCGTGCTTGTAGTCCCCTACTAATTGGACTCCTGCTTATGTATTTGCTTGCGCTATTTGCGCCTTGGTATTGATTTCCAGGTTCCACCAACAAAAAAAACAAAAAAAAAGTACTTACGTAATCATATTTTTGTCGGGAAACTACTAATTCTTCTAATTCTTGGAAAGGTATTTTGGATGCTCGTTCTTTACTCCTCTTTGGAATTCGTTGGATTGTTGGCAATGGTAAAGATATTGAATTTTGGACTTAAAGTTGGGTGTTTTGGCATCTTTTTGGTAGCGGAAATAGGAAATCAGTTTTGGCAGACTTATGTTAAACTGAGCAAGAAAAGTATTTTGACCAACTACTTGTTCACTGGATACTTTGATGCCTCAATCAAGGAAGATGGTTTGGCTGCTTTTGGATTCATTATTCGTTGCCTTAGTCAAGGTCGATGTTTTGTTCCTATCGTTGAAGCTATACTGCACTACTTGAAGGGCCGTTGTGAAGAGGTTTCTTTTAAGAGCAACTCCACCCATATTGCCCTTAGAGCATCTCCACCCACAAGGGCAAAGTCTAGGGCAAGGGCAAGCAAGGGCAAGCAAGGGCTGTTACTATTCACGTGAATAGTGTCAGCCTTTGCATTTGTGGTTCCACCCACAAGGGCAAAGTCTAGGGCAAGTCTAAGGCAATTACTATTCATTGTACTTTATTTTC